AACTTACTAAATTTTAGAAGTTTAAATTCCAGGCTTTTACAATTTAGTTGTAATTTAAACTTTATTTCTTGTCCCAACCCCCTTACATACATACACCTGCTGCATGAGATGGTAGTCATGGCATTTGGAACATTTGCCAAATCTGTCAGCTGACCAACTAGCTTTTTGCAATTTCTGCCTCTAATTTGTAATTGCTATTGTTAATGATTAATTCATGCTCGTCTTTGTAAAATAGACAATTTAATGCAAGACGTGATATGAATAATTGAATTCTTATGTTGAGGAAGTTATGTTCCATTATGTTCTTTCCCATCCAAGAACACATCAAAGATGATAATTGTGCTAATTAAGTTAAAATGAAATCTAACTATGTAAGGGCACTTATTAAAAAAAGAAAAAGGAAACCTCAGGTTTTCTAAGCTGATTTGGGAGGGGGGGAAGTAGTGTTTAAACAGAAAACACTTTCATTTTGAGCTTACCTATAAACTACATGATTGCAAAAATTTTCAGTGACTTTATGCTATTTGACTGCACATAGTTATCTAAATCTTAAATATTCACCCAGTGGAGTGAGGAATAGTGCCATGTTAAATTTATAGCATTGTCCTTAATATAAACCTCATGAAAGCCTGTTTATTCAATCTCTTCAAATTTTTCACAGTGCTGGCTTAATGCAGTCTTTTATTGTCTAAAATATAATAGAATTGTTCATCATAAATTCCTGTTTATTAACACTTATGGCATTTTTCCCAAAAAGATAAATTCTTATTTGATGTACCTGAAATGTCAGTGAATTATGAAATTTGGCAGTCTTAATTTTTGTATTTACATTACTTACAGTTGGACTAATGTCCTCATCTTTATCACAGTGTTTCAGCTGTTGTGCCCTCTGGCCTTCTTAGTTGTCTGTCAATTCAGATATCCTTCAGGGAATATCAAATGGGCCCTTTATTTAATCTCCAGGAGTAAGTTGTTCTCATTCTGCTTTACATGTTCATGAATTTGAAAATTATTACTCACAAGCTTTTTGGATGATGACCCCCCCCCCTCAATCAACATTGAAGTTGAGTGAAAAACTGTCATCACTCACCAGTTGTTAGATGTTTGCAAAATATAAGAAAAATTAAAGAAAGGGTTTTGCATGCTTTGTCAGGGTAAAACATTGTGCTGTTTATTGCCACTTGCATTTCACTTCTTAACTACAAATATGAGAGGTCTTTTCTTGTGGAAAATTATCACTGGAGATGAGAAATGGGTTTAAGTGATAATCTGAACTGTCACAAATCTTTGGTGAATCCATGATACCTGTAGTATCAAGAGCAAAACCCAACCTTTTTAGGGAAAATGTTATTGCTGTATATTTAGTGGTATATACATACAAGCTATATTGTATGAAAAATTGCTGGTGAAATTGTTACTGCAGAAGTCATCACCTTCGAAGATTAAACATTGAAATTGAAAACTCTTATTTCCAGGACAGAAGCCAGAAAGTCATTGTTGCATAGGAGGGGAAAAAAAACAAAGTTGGCATTGAAGGTCTGACACCCTCCCCACTGCATACATATGTGTATATACACACACACACACACACACACTCTCAACTTGACTCTGTTGGGTGATCATTTGTTCCACTCAATACTGTATTCCTTATTTGGTATAACATTTATAGACGTCTGTTCAACATTTGATTGAAAGCATTGTTGATGCCCATTTTATCAATATGGAATTTAAAATTTTCTAGGATGTTGGTGTGAGGTCACGGAAATTGAAGGAAAATATTTTGATTATTAATAAATGTGGATAATATCCACTAACTCATTTAAGAAAAAAAAACTTTCACATGCACTAAAAAAAAAAAAAAAAAAAAAAAAAAACTTCTGCATCTCCTTTTTAATATGCTGAAGAGAAGACATCACTTATACCTATAGTATAATTACTTCAAAATTGATATACACTCCTGTACAAAATCTTAAGGTCGGATACAAAAGGGTTAAAAAAAACATAAAATACTGTTACTTTAATTGAAATATATTTGCAAAACATTTACATTTAATTAGAAAATGTACTTTATCAACAAACAAGTGAAAATTTTAAGCTTTTAATTAATTTAACAAACATTGAAAGACTTTTTTCTTTTTTTTCTTTTTTTTTCTTTTTTTTCTTTGGTTGGTCATAGATAAGACTGTAAATAAAAAAAGAAAATACAGAACAAATAAGTCACAATGACAATATTCAGTATATCCTCTATTCTTGCGAATTACTTTGAAAATTCGCTTTGGTATACTCATTAACTTCTGCATGAGGGTGCTTGGTTTGTGCGCCCAGGATGCATAAACTGCAGCACAAAGAGCATCCACAGTTTCAAATTGTGACCCATGTTTATAAACATACTTTGCCATTCATCCCTCAAACATTCTTAATTGGGTTTAGATCTGGAGAGTATGGTAATTGGCTCAAAAGCTGAATGTTGTTTCTATAAAAATCTCCTTCAACCGTTGTGGATTGCATCATTGTCCTGCAGGAAAATCCAGTTTTCTCCACATAGGCATCGCTAATTACTGAAGGCCCTTGTCTTAACATGTCGGTGTAACTAGCAGCTGTTTGACAATCTTTTATCTTCTGTAACTCAAGAGTTCCATTGTATGAAAATGAACCCCCCCCAGACCATAATTGATCCACCTCAACTGTGTCATGTGGAGAATTTCTTTTGGGAGATCTTTTGCATGCCAGTAATGCTGAAAACTATCTGTTCTATCAAGGTTTAATTTTTCTCATCTGAAAACACTTTCTTCCATTTATCCACATCCCAAGTTTCATAATCGAAAGCAAATTGTAGTTTTTATGGTGGGGAAGAAAGTGAGGCTTTTGCAGCCATTTCATGTTCTTAAACCTATTCTTATTTAAATGGAATTAAGTTGTTCAAGAGCTGCATTCAGCATCTGTATCTGCTTTTATCTGATTTGATGTGAGGCTTGAATCTCTTAACTTCTCACATATGACTGTCTAGAGATGGTGAGATTTTATTGGGGCAACTGTTTGATCCCCCCCCCCCCCCCCGTGAAGTTAGCAATGACAGTTCTGCTATGGCCAATTTCATTTGCAATGGCTTGTTACAAATGACCACGTCTTTGAAGTTCAATAATCCTGCCCTTTGTTAAAATTTTAGCCATTTTAAAATCTGAAATTTAATGCTGCAAATGAGCTATGATCATACTGACTAGTTCTAAAATTTTTGTCCAGTAAATTTTTCTCAGTTTTATCTTTATGACCAACCAAAAAAATATTTTTTCAGTGTTTAAATTAATCAATTAAAAGCTTAAAATTTTCACTTTATTGTTGATAAACTATATCTTCTAATTAAATGTAAATGTTTTGCAAATATATTTCAATTAAATTATTCTATACATTTTTTTAACCCTTTTGTATCTTAAGATTTTGACCGGGAGTATATATTATGGTTATTCAGCAAGTTGTTTGCTGTTAAATATAGCAAGAAATGGTGTTGGGGTAGGTAACATCTGATCCTTTTTTTTTTTTTTTTTTTTTTTTTTTCCTGCCTATACAAGAGTTAACTTATTTAATGGACTGAATATTAATCTCTGATTCTATAAACAAACTAGCTTGAAATATATTTCCTTAACATTATTAATCCAATTAGATTTATTGAAAAAATAAAATCAATAATTCACTGAAAATTCCCATCTGAATTTCTGGTATGAGTTATTATTTATACTGACTATTATTCTCATCTTTGTTATTAATATATAGTGACCTGGTTTTCACCAGGTGCTTCAGAATTTCAAACTCAACCTCTTATTTAATCTGCAGGGGGAATTGTTCTCAGTTTTGATCTTGTCTAGTTCTTAATTAGAACTGTTATTGTTTACCCTGTTTCCACTGACTTTAAGTTTGCAATATCTGGCCCATGAATTGAACTCAATTGCTATGTTATAGGTCAATAGTTAATGCATTAAAGTGTTGATTCAAGAATTCATTGACAATAATTGTGCCTTGGCTAGGTAGGGAACACTTTGACTCAATGGAAAGAGGGCAGGCAGTATCCGAGCTGCACCAAATAAGAATAAGACCTGATATTTGTAAACATGGGTAGTGGCATGAGAACAATCTGCCCCTGTATATTAAAGGATTTACTTTAAAATTCTTTGAAGTTTACCTGATGAAATCCAGCTGAAATGTTCTGATGATGATAATGACAAAGATGAGGACAATAGTCAGTGCAAATAATTCACTGAAACATTTTTTGATAAAGCCCACATTTCTATTAAAACTTTTTCTATAATTAAATTTAAAACTTTGATATAAGTACAGATTTAATTTCCTATTGTGAATTTTTTTCTTTAGGAGGTGGGGTTAACACATGTGAACTGTCTAATTCTTGTTTAACTTGTGAGTTTCTCACATCAAAGTAACTAGTGTAATAAATCTGAAAATGATTTCCATGCTTAATTTCATCATTTTTAGTTATCTTAATTTGTTTGCTACGGACATCAATTTGTCTGACTGGAGCATTTTTCAGCCAGAGATAATGAACATGAAACTTTGGAAACTATTTTTAATATATTGAAATATTCATTGCTTGTCCATAAACTGCACAAATCTTGTTTTGATTCACATTTTACTTTTCTTTATGAAAACATGCCAAAAATATCTTCTCTTCAACATTAGAATCAAACAAATTCACCAAATTGATTATTTAAAAAATGTATACAATGACAATGATCACAAAGCAATGAAATTTTGTTAAAACTAAAAGCTAATAAAAATGTATTTCTAGAATTGTTTTAATTTTTTTTCTCTTCTACAAAAATGCTGAATTTTACAAATACTTTACTGACCAAATGCCCTTGAAAAATAAATTTACTTCTGTTTAATGATTAAACTTTATAGAATAGCCAAATAAAAATGCATTCAAATGATGTAACTTTGTTCATACTTCTCTTTTTAAATAATTCTCATAAGTGTAATATTTTTAATTTCAGGCTTTAAGCAAACACCAGTCTACTTACAGGAAGCAGCATGAGGTGGGAATCCGACATGAAGAACATTTCCTCCAGGAGACACTTTCTCTGGAGGATCAGTACAGGGATACGATCAGCGAGCTGGAGACGGAGCTCAAGTCAATCAAGGCTGCTTATGATCGCATCACTTGTGAAAATGAGCGCCTTAATGCATTGGTTAACGAGAGTCAGCAGCAGATGGAAGCATTAGAGTTGCAACGGAAGCAGTTAAGAAATGAAATCAAAGAATACAAAATCCGCGAGAACCGCAACTTAGCAGACTATGCAGAGCTGGAAGATGAAAATATCAATCTTCAGAAACAAGTGTCTCAGCTACGGCAGAGTCAAGTGGACTATGAAGCCCTGAAACATGAAAAGCGGGCACTCCAAGAAGAAGCAGATGATCTGAATGCTGAGCTAGAGCAAACAAAAAATCTCAAGAAAATTATAGAACGAAATCTAGAGGAATCTCTCAACTCGTTGCAACAGGAACGGGAACAGAAGCACATGTTAAAAAAAGAGCTTGATCACCATATAACCAGAGAGTCTATGTTCAATCTCAGCAATCTTGCTCACATTGGTGGTTTGAGTGATGGGCTCAAGTTTGGTAACAGTCACGATCTGAATTTGAACAGTGGTCACAGGGAAGCAAATGATGATGAGGGTGAATCTCAGGATCACCCTGCACTCAAACGATTGGAAGCTGACTTCATTCAACCCAAAAAAGATGATGGTAGAGTTCCTAAACCAGCTCCTGCTAGTGTGAATGATTTGCTAAGTGAGATCCACATGACTGAAGTACAGAAATTGCAACAGTTACTTGATCAAAGTGAAAATGAAAAAATGGAATTGCAGAAAGGCTTGGATGAAGCTCAGAAACTGATGCAGGACACTCAGAAAGATCTGATGGAGCAGCGGGAAAGGGCAGCACAGCTGAAGTCCCACATGAGTGCAATAGCAAACATCAATGAAGCCCAAATCAACTTGCCTGAGGATGAACTCACAGAAGAAGACCTTGCAGAGATCCAGAATGAAAGTGATCCAGAAAAGCGAGAAATCCTGCTCCTGAAGCATAACTATAACATCAATGAGAAAAAATATATGGCGGCTCTGAAACAGATTAGCAATCTTCAGTCTGAAATTAATTCTCTCCAAGAACGAGTCCAGAATGCCGAGAGTAACAAGACTATTGATCCTGAGGTGAAGGAGACACTGTCTAATCTAAACAACAAAATCTCTGAATATGAGGAACAGGTCAAGATTCTACAAAAGGATCTTACTGGTATGACTGATTCTGCTGACAGTGCTCAAGGAAGGCTTAATGTTACTCAGGATCAGTTAGTGCATATCACAGAAGACCTGGCTCAGTTGTATCATCTAGTGTGTGAAGTCAATGGAGAACTCCCAAGCAGAGTTATGCTTGACCATGCCAAGGGTGCTGCTCAGATGTCTCGGCCAGATGTGGCCAGAGAGGGATCTGAGGAGAAAAGTGAAGTGACTCAGAAAAGTAATGGTGAAGTGAGCACAGAAGATGGAGAGTCATCAGGTTCAGAAGCTTCCAAAAAATCCAAAGAGCTTGTGAGCCAAGACCTGAAGGGGCAGGGGGATCCAACATCTTGTGGAAAATTAGTTGAGACTATCTTGGACCAGATAAAGTACTTAAGACGTGCTGTTGAGCATTTGGTAGTAACCAGACAGCGGCAAGATGATGATACAGAGAACCAAGATGTGAAGGAACTGCAGGAGCAGATAGTCAAATTGAAGGCCATGCTGTCAACAAAACGAGAACAGATTGCCACTTTGCGAAGTGTATTGAAAGCAAACAAATCAACAGCAGAGATTGCTCTGGCCAATCTGAAACAGAAATATGAGAATGAGAAAGTAATTGTAACAGATACAATGATGAAACTAAGAAATGAACTGAAGGCTCTCAAAGAGGATGCAGCTACATTTGCTTCCTTGCGAGCAATGTTTGCCCAGCGTTGTGATGAATATGTCACACAACTGGATGAGATGCAGAGACAGCTAGTTGCTGCAGAAGAGGAGAAAAAGACTCTGAATTCTTTACTTCGAATGGCTATTCAGCAGAAACTAGTACTAACACAGCGATTGGAGGATTTGGAATTTGACAGAGAGCGTCGTAACATTCGAAGGCAAGGCCGAAACAAGATCGGTGCACCCAAAGTAAGTTACAACTACGCTCCATATGAAGAATTTGGTCGCTTCTCAAGGTCTTCCCAAAAGAGAGACTATTAAAAACTAGGTGTCTAGTCCTGTGGACCCGGAGAACCGGGTAAGTGTGGGGGCTACTGTGCTTATTCAAAACAACAATAATAAAAAAACAAAAAAAAAAAACAAAACAAAAAAAAACAAAAAAACTCTCCCTGCTTTGCCCGCTATAAATTCATAAATTTACCTTTGAACCCCTTCCCACATTTCTCCCATTTTTATAAAGTATACTGGTCAGGGGATGGTTTAACAGCTTCAGCATTGGGCAGTTTGTTCCCTTTCATATTTTCACATTATTTTCTTTGCCCATTGCTTTCAAAACACACTTTACTTATTTAAAATCTGGTCAACAGCCAAATCCTAGAAATTAGGATTTCCCCTTGCATATGTATAATTTATTTTTATATTTCATAATTGTTTTTAGAGCCATTGCATGCTCTTGCGTGAAGTAAATTATTCTTGTTTTCCATCTTGTTTTTGTTTCTTCTTTTTGAAAACTCCAATCACATGTGCCTATTGGCTTGTATGTGTTTTTTTATTTTTATTTATTTATTCATTTTTAAACTTTGTCAACTTAGCATTTTTTTCCAATGTGAAAAATTGCTAATTCTTATGACGTAGACAGCATTAAAAGATAGTTTTGCTGTAAAATATGGCCTATTTTAGGATGAAAAATTTTAATGCTTATCTTTGAGTTCCAGCTTCCCAGAAACAAAAAAAAAAATCTCATCAAAACAATGGTTAGGAGTTTGCTATATTAATCTTAAGTGCCTTTCTACAAAATTTGGACAGTGTTCCTTTACAAGAAAGCTTTTTTTTTTTTCTTCTACTTTACTCAAATTCTGGGATATATATATATATATATATATATATATATATATATATATATATATATATATATATATATATATATGCACACATACACAGATGCCATTTGGCTCCACACACAATTTATTTGGACTTATTGTTTTCTGAGAAACAAATCACTCATTTGCAACATATTAGGGTAAGTATGGCTAGTGTATGACAAAGTTTAAGAAACGTATTCTGAACAACAAATTATCTTATTTTCTAAATATAGATTTATTTAAAACTTTACTTTCCATTTTTGCTTGCATTTGATTTTTGAAATGAAACCCTTTTCATTTGCTTTATAAATATAAAATTGTGGCTGTTGACCAGAGATTTCAAATTTCTAATTATATTTGAAAAGGACTTTGCATATTAGTGTTTTATTTTTTTATCTGTTTATTAGCCACAAACAAGAATTGTATTTTTTTCCAAATTTTTATTTGTGCAGTTTTCATAATCACTTTCTATGAAATACAATTTTAGGTGGTTACATTTTTTTTTTTTTCTTGTAGTGGATTTAATAGTAAAGCATGAAGTTAAGTTTTTAAGTGATTTATAATTGTGAATACCTAAGAATAAATGCAGGTTAAAAAAAGCATAATTTAATTTCTGGAAAGCTGGTCTTAATGTTAGATACTGTGTGTGCCAGTTTTCTATTGCTTACCCTTAAAAACTTGACTATTGAAGAAAAATACATCAAAGATGGTAATGGTGGAATAAGTTGAACTTTCCAGCTGATAACCTTCTCATTAAGAAAAAAAAATTCTTGTTATAAAGAGCAGCTAATCAGCAGTCTGACAAAATAACACCTGATATGAAAATGTGTACAAAGTAGATGGGTGGGAGGAATGGCCCCCTTGAGTTCCATTACTTGAAAATTTATAAGAGATCAAATGATGGATAAATACAGTTTGGTCTGTTATATCTCCGCAGTGATGTTACATTTACAAGTATAGCATACAGGCTCTTGTAATTTAGTTAGCTTTGTTTGGCACAAGGCAAAAATATGGGAGCATTCATGACAAAATCATTTAGGTGGTCAACTAGATTAGCTTGCTAACAATTAACTCTGTGAGGTACCCATAGAGGAGAAAAAAAAGGGCCATTACTTGCTAAAGGAAGGGGGCATTGAGCTGGAAGCAGGCCTCTTGGGAGGATATCAACACCAGAAGGTTCATTAGTAGAAGCCTATTTTCTCACATTAATACTAGTTTGTATCACAATCACAGACAAGTGGGAACAATTTTCAGATGACTGGCCTGGTCAGCTCAGAAGTAAAGTTACTGAGATATAATATTGGACAGCTGTAATCGCTATGCCTGATTGATTGTTCATTATTAATCAAAAATAGTTGAATATGTGAACATTTTTTTTTTTTTTACTTAATTCAGATTTGTAAGTAATGTTAAATAATTCTAATTACCTTCATTTGATCCCAAACAGGGAAAAATTTGCCACCTTTCATCTGTTAAAATACCAGGGTGTTATAGGTTCAGTGTTTAGTCCCATTTACTTGTTGGGTGAGGGGCAAGAGACAAATTTATTAAACTTGTTAAAATTTAAGGAAAATATTGGTCACAAAAATGGTTCCTCATAGTGGCTCTTGCTTAAAGTTGGTGAAAATGCACAGCTATGAGATGTAACTGAAATCATTCATGTTGTTGTGATCCCTGTTTTAGTTTCCATGAAAATAAATTGAACATAATACTTTTGGACTGTCCCTCATGTTAAATATATTAGTGGCAGTAACTGAAAGTTTCTTGGAATTTCCAAACTCAATGTTTCAATGACCAAACAACCATTTTTTTAAATGTTAATGCTTGAATATGGATATTTGTACAATGTTACTTTTGTGAGTATTAGACCTAATTAAATGCCAGACCGTTAAAACACTGGTTCATGTCCGATCACCAAAGTTAAGCAACATTGAGCTTGGTCAGTACCTAGATGGATGACTGCTTGGGAATACCAGATGCTGTAAGCTGGGATGTGCAGGTGGTGTAATTGATAATGACTAGGAATTGGAAATCAGTTCCAATTCCATCCAGGTTCATTGTATTCACTGATATGTAAATACCTTTGGGGAAAGGTGTATGAATCCACTTTTCCTCTCAGCTCTGGGTTAATTAGAACTTGTATCAGTAAAAATCAAATCATACTTACAATCTAAAAATATTTTCTGCCTTGAAATAAACTGCCAAAGGTTGATAAGTCATAAAAAACAAAAAATAATAAATAAATGCCAGTTTAGGGATCCTTCTTGCATGCAAAATTTATAAGATGAGTATACTTAACTATTCTGTTTGTAACATTAATAATATTGCATTATGATTTTGTAAACAGAAATTCTGAACTTATCTAAAACAATACAATTCTTGTTTTAAATTTTTTAACTTTGCAAGTCTGCCCTGCTACATGATTTGCATGTTTTTAACTGCAGTATGAATGTTTCATTATGACCTTTCCAGCTTTTTTTTATTTATTTACTTTATTTTTTCTTTTGCAAACTGTAGTCTGAATCTTTCACCCTTTTTAATGCATGCTATGCAATCATAGGCTTAATCTTAACTAAAGTGTGCATTTGCACATTTTTGCATCTATAATAAAAATAAAGCTTATTTATTATTAATAGTATATTGTAATGTTACTGCTGGTTAAAATTTATTAAAGTTTAGTCTTAATTGTATAAATATTAATCCTTTTTATCTATCCATTTAAGTATGTAAATCTTTCCAGAGTAGTATGTTAAATCAAATATATAAACCCCTCTCCCCTTGAATATGTTGTTTGAAAAAAATAAGAGCTACATATATTTAATAGCTTGAATATGGCAACAGATTCAATGAGTAAAAACTAAAAACCAATGATTTATGCAAACTCTTGCACTATCAATCTAGTGAATCTCCCCCACCCCCTCTTTAAGAAGCCTATTTTCAATTACCTTAATCTTTCAATAATGCATGTTAGTGACTACTAAATTTGTAAAGATGTTTGCAAATTTCAGTTTGAGCTCTTGTTCAAATAGTTGTTAGCAAAAAGTTGCTTCATATTTCTCCTGTTATAGTGATACACTAGTTAACATTTGAGAAAATTACTATTAACCAACTTGTTTGCTCCAACCACCAAGTAATATTTAGCTGGGTAATAATTGTTGAGTCATTTGAAAGGATGCTGCTGTTGATTTCCTCTCCAGCAACACTACTATGACAGTTATTGTTAGTCATGCTTTTGTATGTACATACAAACTGTCAACTGAAAAGCATGTAGATCTGAACCAAATCTAAATTCTTCATAATATTTTTTACTAACCCTAGAAAAGTATGTAGTGAGAATAATTTTGCATTAAAACTACTGTTTGTCTACAACTGTGAGAGTGTACAAAAAATTTGAAATTAAGTGTGTGTTCTTTAACAATCCTTTAGTGTCTGATTTGGTGTTGGAATAACTGCTTGTAATGTAGTCCATCATAAAATTAGACAACTTACAATATTACTCGTGTAGTGCTTATCAAAAAAAAAAAAAACATGGGGGTGGCATGAGTGGATTATTTATATACAAATAATTCTGTAAATGTATTTATTGCAATAAATCTAAGGACTATAATGTATTAAATGAATTGTGGTTCTGTAAATTAATCCTGACTCTTGTAATCTCTCTATTTTTAAATTAGTCAAAAAACCTGTACTAAACTTTTTTTTTTTCTTTTTTTTTTTTCAGTGTGAGAATTTCTTTAGATTCATATAAAATTAATTCTTATTTGTATGGCTGTCTTAAAATAACAATTCTTATAGTCAATAATATTGCATGCTTTGCTATTTAGAACAGCATGCTTACCTTGATTGTTATGCTCATATCTGCTGTTGTATTCTCCTGTCTTCTTAAATAGTATTTGAGTGATAGAGATATATATCTTATTACTCTAAACATTATTTTAGTGAATACACATATTTGAGTAGACAATCTCTTGTTTTTTAAGTGTGAATTAACTCTACCCTTCTGTGCATTTAAAAGACTTAATAAAGAAATGCCAGAGCACATTTTCTTAAGTCTCTTGAATGCAAGCCAGTAAATGTAATTAACTTTATTTATTATCAGGGCATCTACTCAAACATGGGTATCCACTAAAATCTTTATAGTAATAAGAAATATTGGATAAAACAGTTAAAAACTCTACTTATTCATGTCTTGTTGAAATTTTTTTTATTTATTTAAAAAAAAAAAAAGTATTCAAAAAAAACTTTCCTGGATATTTTAGCTTTACACTGGTATTTTGTTTGCCTGTCTACCTCCAGGTTGGACACTTGAATCAGGATGTGGTTCACTTAAAATTAAGTTCATTGATATTTTTTTTTTTTTTTTTTTTTTTGCTTTTAACATTACAAAACCAAGTGATATTTAATTTTATATAAAACAAGTTAATGATTGTTTTCAGTAAGTGAAAGTAACAAGTTTTAACTTTATGAAGTTGAATATAGGTAAACTTTTTTACTAATATTCTTTCTTCTGTAAGCAGGGAAAATGCAACTTTATAATAAAATTATATACAAATGCATTTAATTTTGTCATACATAAAATAAACAAATAACTTATAGCTGTTATTTGATTAGCCCACTTGTTTACTTCTGACATTTCAGAAATATTGCCCTCAACTTTGATTTAAATGATTTCAAACTACTTCTCTTTAATGGTTAGTTTAAACATAAATTTTACTAATACTTACTGAAAATAACTATTGTATGTTCTTGGTATAACATTAAAATAGTCCTAAAAACTAATTCTATTCTGTTGGAATTTTCTTCATTAGGTCGTGTGTGTGAGAGTTTAAAATGATTTAGTCCAATTTTACTTCTATAATCATTGATTTCATTTTTGAAGTCAAATTGGAATTCTCACTTGCAAAATTCTCTGCTTGTTGATAATTTTTCTTTTATCTTTCCAGTTCAGAATAGAATAAATAAAATATTAAAGAAATAGGAGAAACCTATTCTCTTTTGCTGAACAAAATTCTTGAGAATGGATGCTTACCCCCCTCTCCAAAAAAAAATCCAGGCTTCACTCTTTCCTCTACTAAATACTGTATTTTTTATTGATGCTATTAGACTGTAATAACTACAATAATTAGTATAACTTAATAAAACAAAGTTGAAAAAATGATTGATATTAGGCTTTAGGAAAAAGAAGTGTAGGTACTATAAAACTCTCATTTAAGATAATGAGCAGGTATTTCAATATTAAACCCTGGTAACAATCTACATTACCAAAATAGAAATGGTGAAATAAAATTGGCTCAGGAATGGGATAATTTTTACTAAAACAAACTTTATTCAGTTTACACTGAAAGTGGGCAATTTAAATGGTGTGAACATTTGAATTGATAATTGAGATATGAATTGCTTTAATTATCAAGATGGTTAAGTTTATTATGATACACAAAGAAAAGCTCTTTTTCTTTTTCTTTTTTTAAAAATAGCAAGGCAGGTGCCATCTTCCTTAGTCTAATTATCCTTTTACTTACCTTGAAAATAAAACTTGTACTTTTTGTTGAAATGATACATCTGTTTGTGTGTGTGGGGTCTCTTTTTTTTTTTTTTTTTTTTTTTTTTTAAACTGGTAGGAAGATTAATTTACCTGAATTTTGTCTTGCCCATGGACTTTACTCTGCATTTTAAGTTTCCTTAATCCAGATAAGGGTGTAAATATTTGATGCCTTAAAGGTGATGTTTTATTCCTGAATCTTATTTGTCTAGTTGTATTTCTAATGTTAAATTTCTGCTCTTTGAGTCAATTTCACTTTGCATGTGATATATGCTTGTTGCACTGTATCTCTTCCCACACATTTTATCAATGTCCCTGGGGCCTAACCTTGTTATGGTTCTCCATATTTTGATTATGTCCACGGGGCTAGTATTGGCAACTCTAATTCATTTTTAGGCTCTTTTTTGACCTTGGAACAAGGAGCTTGAGTGTATAGCTTAATCTTCTGACTACTTGTCATTAATTTTCGTGTTTGTTTTTTGTTTATCCTTTTTTTTTTTTTTTCTGTTTCTTTGTTTTCTTAACTGTTATATAAATGTTGCAGTTAATATCATAATTCATTTTTTTTTTTTCTATGTCTTTTGGCAAATTGCCAGGTTCTATGAGAACTATTCCAAATTTGTTCTAAAAACTGGATACTGTATTTCCTCTCTTGCTAATATTATATTTAAGTTTTAATTTCAGGAATCTCTTAATTGCATTGTGCATGTGGATTCTGTTTTGAATGTTTGTAAATTTACCTTGTGTATGGAATTTGATCAACCCTGTGTATGCATACTGTTTTTAGTCAACTCTACCTAACATGATGGGTAGTAGTTGTAGCAGTGATTTTTAGTTCTGGTCCTTTCTTTTGGGGAAGAGGATGGTATGTAGAAATGGAAGTGTTTATGGATATTTAATAGAAATTAAAATGTTGCATGTTACACTCTCAGGAAATAGTGCAGTATGGTTGAGGAAAGTTATTCCTCTCCTTTCTATGAATGAAAGACTTACTCTAATATTACTAATTCTATGCATATGTATTGTTTAAGTGTTCTGTTCTGTTCTTATTCACAAATATAATTTAATATCTATTAATAAAGTAAAGTATCCCCCAGGTTTAGAAATCCAAAGGTAGAAAGTATTTTCATTGTGGTAAATTTCAAGGGAATTGGAAGAGCATGCTTTTTTTTTTTATTTTTTTTTTTTTTTTTTTTTTTAAAAAAACAATGAAATTAACTTTCAAGCTTTGGTAGTTTTGAGTGATATATTTAAACTTCCATAGCATTTTTATTCACTTTCTACACTGTTTTAATAACGGGAAAATCTTAAACTGGATGAAAGCAGAGTTAACTGTTAAGTTATTCTATCTTTCAACCTAGCATTTTCAAAACTTTTGTGTATGCCATCTTTATCAAGTGGAGAAGCTTAAACTGAATCTTGGCTGCAATTATTGCACTTTTTTTTT